GGGGCCCTGGCCCGGGTGTGCCCGGCCCCTCCCCGGTATCCGCCGGGGGAGGCGGGCGGCGGTGCTGCAGCCTCGGCCGCGGGGGGCACCCCCGGCACCGCGTACTTTGCGCACGCAGGGGCTGAAGGAGCGCGCGGCGACCCCCCGTCAGCGGGATGGCCCCAAACCCCGCAGCCCCCTGCGACGCCCGGCTCCCTGTCCTCAGGTGGCACAGTGGGGGTGTTTGTCCCCATCATGAATGAACTCAGTGTCGCCGCTTGCGCAGTCGTCTACGGCTTCGCCAATGCTTGACAAATAGCAATGCTACTTTAAAATTTCTTCTTTATTTAAATTCTAAAGTAAACTTAAAATGCTCCGTTTTGTTTACCAGTCGGTGATCTTGACCCATTTTAGTAGCCTTTTCACTCTGGCTCTGAAAGATACTCTTTAAAGGGCTGTGGCAGGGCTTACAGTAACGAACTCAATACTTGTGTGTTTGTAGGATTTGGGCCAAAGTTGTTTGACTGAGAAAAGAAACGAAAAATTAAGTCAGTATTCCTACTGAACACGAGGCAACTTGACATTTTGAAAAATGTTGACAGAAACCACTTTGTTAGTGCTATTGGATGATGAAATACAGATTATCGTGTCAAGAAAGGATAATTTCTCTTCTAAGGATTGTTTTAAGAAGCGCCTGCCCCTCTTCTTGCTTTAAGTACTTCTTCCCATATACACACACCTCTTGCAGGAGAAGCGAAGTCTGTAGTAAAGTGTTCAGGCACAGCCAACTGAAGCAAAGACTGCCAGGAACTGAACAGAAATTTTGCTGCATGCAAGGCAGAATATAAACCTATTATCTTATTCTTAGCTTATTTATCAAGCACATAACTTTCCTATTCTTGCAAAATACAAAGAAGGGCGGTCCCACTCCCAAAGCTTTAAAGAAGTGCTGTGGATTAGAGAGGATACTCTGCGGATTAAACAGAAAGTGGGAGCTGCAATGCAGCAGAGGTGATGCTTGCTAAATTTCCAAGAGCATTTGCATGGGAGAGGTGCAGCTGCTGTTGGGACATCCCAGAGCTTTGGAGGCAGCCTGCAAGATGGCTAGTAAGTAAGAGGTGCCAGCAGTATTCCTGTGTGCACAGACGCAATGGAAGACAACAGAGGGCAGAGGCTGAGATGTGCACGGGTTCTGCAGAGGCCCAGGTTTTGTACGAGTGCACGTGTGTTGGCAGCCAGGTGGGAGTACCTGGCCTGCAGCCCTGAGGAGGGGCAGCCCCACATCCCCCAGTGGGGCTGGAGGAAGGAGCAGGACACGTCTAGGCAAGGCTTGATGAAGGATTGGGAGGGAGCCCAGTCCACAAAAAGGGGGCTGTGGAAACAGAGAAGTTCATAACGTAGTCAGAGCAGAGATAATATTCAAGTCAAGAGAGCTGCATAATCCTCACACCACAGACACATGCGTTCCCTGATGCTCCTCTCTGATTGTCAACATTTTTGAAGTCTAGAGAAGACCCACTATTTAAAAACAAGAAAGTATTTCAGGCCTTACATCCACTGAGGAGCTGGCCTTCGTGCAAAACCACCAACAAAGACTGTTACTTCCCATGGATTACATCTTTAAGGACTCTTTTACATGTGGTTCCTGCAGACTTTTAACCTCTCCCAAGGGCAGTTTTAAACTTCTGAACAGTTAACGTGATAACAGGTTCTGCATTACTACCCAAGAATATCTACAGATCTGTGCAGCCAAGGGACAACTCAGGCCTGATGAGCAAATCGAGGCAGAGAACAGGCTGCTGGGAAGCCCCCCACACCCATAAGCAGCACGTGCAGCCAGGCTCCTGCACCTTTCCCCTGTTGGGAACAAAAGCAGCTTCACTCCCTGCCATTGGCTATCTGGGAACACACCCTAAATTACAGACTACAAACAAGGCACTCAATCTAAACTGTATTTACCAAATGTAAAGGATGTTGCTAGAGAGAATTTACCCATGAACTAAACCAGAGATGTCTGGCTGGTTTCCATCAATGGCTGCAGAAGGAACAGAAAAGTAAAAGGCCGGTAAGTAGTTACCCATAAAGGTATTAGCGTTGACATTAATCTTACACTAAATTAATATCTGTTGGGAACACAGAAATGGGAGTGGCATTTCTTCTTCACCAAGCCCAGTTCCCTACTGTTGCAGGGAACCTAATCAAATAAACCCTTTCATAAACTGATGATACTTTATTTTTGAAGTCAGGAAGCTGCTCAGCATCTGTTAGAGTCCCTGTCTTTGCAGGATAAAACAATGAAATGCATAGTTAGGAATTGTATGTGGGAAATGGACATAAATTAAACTACAAAGGTTTTAAACTCAAAACCAAAAGATGGCAGATTTACAGTCTCTCATGCAATCTTAATTATGATGCCTTGTGTATGTATTCTTTGCATAAATGATGCATAGGTTATGCGACAAAAATAGTGTGGAGTTGCATAAGCAAAGAGTCTGTATTAATGTGCACAAAAAATACCTAACTTTTGACAGTTGACTTTGCAACACAAGTAACTTTCTTTTCTAATGTAGTTTCTTTCTGAAGGTAGAACAAAAACTATATTCTGTTGCATGTGTCCCTGAGGCATGTCATCTACAGGCTCGGAATGATGAATCTTTAGTGATAAACTATTTGACATTTAAACTACAGAGCTAGTGTCATATTAATTATAAAAAATGCCCACTGTCCTAGGGTGACATTGCCTCCTGTAGTGCCCTTGCAGAAATGCCCAGGCTGAGTGACCCCTCTTCTCCCAGCAGCAGTTGCTAGCTCTCCTGGACTAAGCCAATGATGCTGGTGATTCAGCCGTGAGTACTTCTTCCTGTCAGCCATTGAAGAAAGATAATTTGTATACAAAGCTAACAAGAGACAAATTTCCTAATGAATGCCTGGCAAGTGTGACCTTGTCTGCCTGAAGATGAGACAACTGCTGAAGTGGAAAGGGGAAACCTCTACCTGAAATGTAACCCTGTGCAACAGTCTGTCACTGAGATGTTCTTTGAAAAGACTGGGTAAATGATGATGCAAATCAAGTGGAGGTGGTCCTGCTCTTCCACATGTCCCTCCATGTATCCCTGCCATCTTTCCTGTGACAAATTTAATAATGATGTTGCTATGCAGCAGCCAGAATGGCCTGCTGATCTGACTGAAAATGAACCCCCTCCCTAAAAGCTGTTTCTTAATCTTTATGCTCCAGCTTTCAGGCTTCTCACCAAATCTTCTTTTCTCCTGTGGAGAGTCATCTGTAAAAAATCCCTTGTATCGTGACAAAAAGAGGTAAGACCTCTTAGTGCTCTCTTAGTGTTTCTGCACAAGTCCTGTTTGGCTGACACTGCAAAATTATTTGAATTTAAATTTATGTAAATGCTATCAACAACAGCTCCTTATTTCATCTGAATCATAGAATCATAGAATGGTTTGGGTTGGAAGGGACCTTTAAAGGCTATCTAGTCCAACCCCCTGCAATGAGCAGGGACATCTTCAACTAGATCAGGTTGCTCAGAGCCCTGTCCAACCTGACCCTGAATGTTTCCAGGGATGGGGCATCTACCACCTCTCACTGGGCAACCTGTTCCAGTGTTTCACCACCCCTGTCACAAAAAAATTCTTCCTTATATCTAGTCTGAATCTACACTCTTTTAGTTTAAACCCCCTTGTCCTATCACAACAGGCCCTATTAAAAAGTCTGTCCCCATCTTACTTAGAAGTCCCCTTTAAGTATTGAAAAGCTGCCATAAGGTCCCCCTGGAGCCTTCTCTTCTCCAGGCTAAACAACCCCAACTCTCTCAATTCAGTCATAAGTGCCAAAACCTTGATATTTTCACTTCCAAAAGAACTTTGGTATTTCCTGGAATTGCAAGTTGTCCCTTTTCAGAATAGCACTGGACACATGATATAGAGAGGACATATCCCTATATTCTTGATAATCCTAGCACCTAAAATGACTCTTACAAACTGATGCACCCACCCAGTTCCTAGGATTCCCAAATTTGCTTTGGTCTGTAAGCCAAGGATTTGTCCATGTTATGCCTTTAATTGAATCCACTACTTTATAGAAATAAAAAAACACACAAGAGTTGTCACTGGAAAATTTGCAAAGCCTCCACCCTTCCCCAGGCTGGAATTCCCACTCTTCTTTCTTTTTGTATGTCAAGCTTCACTCTTGGTTCATTTATCAAATGACAGTGTGGTTTCTGGTTTTATATAAAAAATTGCTGTGATGAGTCATAGACCTCCCCCTCCCTTGCTTCCTTTTCATACTGAGATACCAAGTGCAAATGCAGTATTGACAGTATTCCCACACCTTTTTAGGAATTTAGGAGCTTCTTAAGAACTGAGTTTACACTCTTTAATTAACTTTTTTTTTTTTCTCTTTGCTGGCTTAATGTGGTGGGTTGACCCTTAATGTGGGTTGACTCTGGCTAGATGCCAGGTGCCCACCAAAGCCACTCTATCACTCCCCTCCTCAGCTGGACAAGGGAGAGAAAATATAACAAA